CATCCTTTTTAATGAATGTCCCTCTCTTATTTTTTGTGATTTTATTTTTTACGGCAAAAATTGCCTTGTAGCCAATTAGTTATGTGGCAAAAATGTTTGCAATGAAAATGCTTGCAGTGAAAATGCAATCATGGTAACTGGAGATCATAATTTTTGGAGAACCTCTCTGAAATACGTGATTGTTTGCTTTTTGAGTTCCTAAGTTTTATGCAGTAATGATTTGGGACAAGCCTGGAGCAGATTTTATACTCAAACAGGTGTTTCTTTGTAAAGCCGCTGGTTCTCTGCCCATTTTATTGCTTCTCCGACGTAAGGTCCTTCATCCTCTAACTGGAGAACTAGCGAGTTTCTAGTGTCATGGATGCCAGTGGCAGTTTTGTTTTACAAGGAAGACTGAGTTAACCCACGCTGATGCAGGCAAAGGAGGTGAGGCAAGTCCTCCCCCTACCTTCCCTCCTCTCTGGGACATTTCAGGAAGCCCTGTGGCTCACAATTATGCCGTAGATCCGGGGAGGACTTCCCAAAGAAGCACCTCCGTCACCCATCCTTAATTCCGTGTTGTTCATTCAGTCGGTAGTTACCGAGGTGCACTCTACCTTCCTGAGCACAAAAGGTAGTACAGTCTGGTCCTATGTGGCTCAAGAAGGCCTGTTCATTATGGAGATAAAATACAGGCAACAACACGGCCCCGTGTGGACGAGTTTCCAGAGCGTGAACACCAAAGGCCCAGGGAGGCCAAGGGCCTGCTTCTACTCATGCAAGATAGGAGCTGGACAAAGAGGCTTGATGGGAAAGCAGGGTTCGCCTGGGCAGAGGTTGAAGCCAGGAGCTTGGGGACGGCTGGAGGGGAGAAGGGGAAGCAAGACAGTACAGACCAGGACATGGGGACACAAGAGAGCATGTGGTCTTTGGGAAACTGAGGCCAGCTGCTGTGAGCCGGGGGGTGGGGAGGGGTGGGGGAGGCCTGGTGGGCAGGCGGCAAGACCAAGACGGCCTGGCTCACGGGGACCCGGGAAAAGGCCCCCTCGGGTGCCCAGGGAACCCTTCTGGGAGTAGATGGACAAGCCAGCCTCAGCAGGTGCTGGCAGAGCAGCTTCAGAGCCGAGTGGGACGGCAGGCGCTCCCAACTGTCCTCATCATGGCTTAACTTTGTGGTTCCTGCCGAAAGGAGAAAGCTGGCCGTGGGTGCCCAGAGTTCCTACTTAGCGGATCAACCAAAAGCCTTTATTTTTTACCGACCCTCTGTACCACAGATTTTAAAACAGCTGTTCTTCAAAACCTATAATTTTTGTACTAAACTACTCTTTTATTGGCTTGACTGTTACTGCAAATGGGGCCTGGGAGTCACACTTCTGAGAACGTCTTCCTTGGTTTCCTGCTAAAATGCACATTTACACTTTAGTGTGACTGAGTCTTTAATGCATTAAAATCATTTTTACATCTTATCTTCACTCTGCAAACTGTAGGGCTGAGACAAACCTCCAGCAGGGAGTCTGTGTGGCATGGGGTACTCCCTACCACACCCCCTTAACCTTCTCCCACTCCGATTTTTAAAAGATGTGCTTATTGTCTGTCTCTTCCCACGAGAATGCATGTTTCAGGGTCAGTGACAGTGTCTGCTTTATTCATCCATAATGCCTACAACACAGATAGGAACCAATAAATGTCTGTTGAATGAATAAATGATAAATGAATGAGAGAAACAGAAGAACCTACATGAGCAAAGAAACTGGGAGGGTTTGGAGAGAGAAAGAAGGTGACAAGAAGGAGTAGCAAAGGACATAGGTGGGTCCTATGAAAAAGGGGTTTTGTGAACTGAATCTCCATTAATTCTCTGTGATGCAGGCAGATGAAATTAGCATTGCTTTTCAATTAAGACAGCAAAGACAAAAATGTTACTATTGTTATTCCCATTTCACGGATGAGAACACTGAGGCTTGTTCAGTCTGGGAAATGCAGCTAATCTGAACCCAGAACTGAAGGCTGGTCTCTTGGCTCCAAACCATTGCTTTACAGGGCGAAAAAAATCATCTCTGCCTAAAGTGACCAGTCTGAGACTAGCACGAGTGAGAAAGAATCACAGGGTTCTGGGAGCCCCGGGGAAGGGAGAGAAGGAAGAGGGTGAGAGACCAAACCAGACTCAGGGCTTAAGGGATGAGAAACCATAATTTTACTTAAAACAGCCATCTACCATTTGGTATTGAAATTTGTATAAAATAAAGCATGAAATATTTCCCCTGGGAAACCTTAAACTTGCTGAGGGACGTGGCCTTAGCACGGTGTAAAGGACTTAGGACAGGCTCAGTAAATACCCATTGGACCGAATTGCTCCTGCGTGCACATCTGGTGGACCCGCAAAGCTCTTGCTAGCTTCTCTCTCCTGGAGTTTTCTCTCTTCCCCTGCGATGGTCTCCTCCCTGCCTTCCACCAAATTAGCTGAATCCACATCCTTCCAGAATCTCTCTTACTCTAATTCCCCCTCCAGCCTGCCTTCAATTTCTCCCCCCAGCCCTGGGCCCTGGATGTTATGCTCTGTGAGTATTCTAAGATCTCTCCTTTCAATGATCTATAGTTTAGAACCATTTCAATAAGCTAAGTTCCCTAAGGGCGAGATCCACATTTTTATTTCCCTGGCTATGTCAATCGTCATATGCCGAGTTCACTGTTTTATCCACAGTCCTCGATCCTAACAAGGTGTGGGGTGAATGAGGCGTCATTCATTCCATAGACATTTCCCAAGCACCTCCCGGGCACAGGCCCTGTGAACGCTGGGAGCCATGGCAAATAAGACACCTCGATCCCACGTGGCGGAGCCCACAGTCCACCGAGCAGGTAAAGAACAGGATAGGAATGAATTAAGCGTTCATTTACTGTTTCCTGAGTATTTCTGGAAGAGGAGAAAAGAGAAGTTGGGTACTGAAAATGGGCTGGGCTGTTGCAACGAAACATTTTCTTTAGCATCAGCGACAGAAAACAGCCACTGGGGATGGATTCGGACTTGAATTCCATTGCCCAGGAAGTTTCTTAATATAGCTGAGTCTCAGTGTCACCCTCTGGAAACTGGGGACGGTGGTGCAGGCTTGTTGTGAGGATCACACACGTCCCTCGCATGGCCCCGGGGCCCGGCACACAGAGGCTCAGGGGATTGCACGTGGTCCCCTTTCATGCTCATTCTGCTTTACGCCCCATGTAGAATAGAGGAGAGCTGAGGGGGTGAAGAGGCATGTAATCCGAAGCAGCCCGTCCTTGTCTCCACAGAAGGAGGACCTGCCGGACCCGCAGGCAGTGGACCTGTACGAATTCCGCTTCAGCGACTTCCCCATCACAGAGCACGAACTGATTAAGTGTGGGCTACGGCTGTTTTTTGAAATCAATGTGGTGGAGAAATTCAAAGTACCTGTCGAGGTCAGACAGTGTTTAATTAAAAGTATTGTGAGATACTGGTGCTGCCCCCGCCTGTGTTTCCCGTGGTTCAAAAGATTAACTTCCATTTGGGTTTTCAATGATTATTAACTTTGTAAATATATCAGCTTAAACCCTGTAAACAGGACCAGCCTATCTTCTTAGATAAGATGGTCACAGACCTTCTAACCTTTAGAATTCAATTCCAAAGTCTGAACGGAGCTGTCTCGTTTGGGCGGCAGGTTCTGACCAGGTGGATGTACACGGTGAGGAAAGGGTACCGCTCCATCACCTACCATAACTGGAGGCACGGCTTCAATGTGGGGCAGACCATGTTCACTCTGCTCATGGTAGGTACAGAGAGCTGCAAACCACGGGAAATCTGCACGCTTCCCTCGCGAGCGTGATGACAAGTGGACAAGGTCCATCGTTTTAGATCAGTAATTTTGGATCCTATAAACCCCAAACTCCCCTGTAGATGATGCCAGAGAACACGGGTATCCCTGGGCACGTGGCTGGATTAGCCCGTAGTGTTCACACACTTACCTCCTTAAAGGAAACGTCAGGTACCTGCTGGGTTTTGTAATTGCCAGGAATGAGCTGCAATACCCAAGATGTAAAGCCAATTTGCTCTAAAAACACAGCAGGTCATCTTCTCCTTTGCAGGCAGGCTTCAGTGCACCTGCTCAGAGGTGTATTCATCTAAGTAAATATATATATATATATATATATTTTTTAGACAGGGAGACTAAAGAAATACTATACGGATCTTGAAGCCTTCGCCATGCTCGCTGCTGCCTTCTGCCATGACATTGACCACAGAGGCACCAATAATTTGTATCAGATGAAGTAAGTGACATGTCCTGGTGATGCTTGAAGGCACCTTGGGGGAGAAGAGAACCTGTTTCTGTCTCTTAGCCTTGTCAGCTCTTCTTTATCACGTTTAGGAAACTCAGGGCCACGATCTGTTCCCTCAGAGACTCAGCCCTCATGATAAATGTCTGCTCTTTCTCCCTGGATGCTTGCCGCCCGCAGCCCCCTTCCCCCGTGGTTTTCATTTCCAGACGCACCCTGCCTTATTTGTAAATGCCTTCACTCCTCCTTTCGCCAATGTGGTTAGTCAGAGTATGGAGTTCATATATGAAAGTGCACCAGCCTTGGGCTTACACGCGTACCCCGTCGTGGAACCCCAACCCCCAGCTCAAGCCAGAGGGCGTTCCTTCCTGGGCTCACTCCCCTTCCCTCCCCTGGTTCCTCTGTGGCTCCCGAGCTTTCCGGCAGCTGGCCTGGCATCTTATCTTCACGGCCGCCTTCCCCTCCTGCCCCAACCGAGGGCAACAATGAGGGTGCACGTTCTCAGCTTAGATAGATGTGGGCTCCCTGGGTTCACAAGTTGTAAGCCTCGACTTCCTCATCTGGAAAGTAAGAATTGTAACAATGATACCTAACAAGTAAGATAGTTGTAAAGATTAAATGAGATCAGGCATATAAAGCATTCGGCTCATGGTAGCCTCTGGGCAGTAAATAAATACTAAGTATTATTATGATGTCACTGACACTCTTCAAAATTCATCAGCAATGCCGGTGGCCAGCTGAGCTCCTTGATCATGGCTTTTAAGCTGCTCTGTCTGACTTAGACACACTGTATCCTCATCTCTGACACACCACCTACTCCTCTGCAGAGGCACCAGGCATTTTAGAGAGAACAAGCTTGGAAGTCTGGGTTTGTGGGGTCCAACCACTTCCTGGTTGGGGAGCTTGGGCAAGTCACTTGGTCTATTTGAGATTCTGTTTGTGAACCACAGAAGGGGCAGGATATCCCACCCCTCAAAGACTGTTGTGGGAATCAAATGAAATTTGATCTGAAACCACATAGTAGGTGTTCAAGAACAATCTCCTCAGTGAATGAAAAGCGCCTTGCGAGCGGTGACTTCTCACCTTCAGCAACTCTAGCTATGGGGCTTTGTCTTGAAGAGAGGATTGGCACCGTGGCCTCGGGCAACGGACGGCTTCCTCTCTGGAGATTCGGGCGCGCCCCCCTCCTCACTCCTGCACGCCAGGCTCCTGACAGTGCTGGGCTCCCTCCCTCTCCTCTGCTCACCAGTGCAGGAGCCACCTCGGCTCCGAGGCAGCTCCCAGTCCTGCCCCACGCTAAGAACTTGGCACTCATCGCCTCCTTGAGGCCTCGCGGCACTCCCGCCTGGGAGCGACTGTCACCTCCCTCTTTTACTGAGGAAGAAACAAGCTCAGAAAGGCCAAGTCCAACTTGCCAGACTGGATGTGGCATCTGGCCTCCAGGAAGGACGCAGCGACCTCTGAGGTCTCTGCTTTGGCGGGGCACGTGGGGTCCGGGCGGGCCCCCCCTCCATCAGCTGAACGTCTCCCGCCATTTCTCTCTGAGAATATGTGGCCATGGAAGGACTGCGACCCGTGTGCGGGTTTCCCTGCCGCGGGCACGTCAGCATGGGTATCCTTGGTTCTGGCAGCTCGGCTGCGCCACCGTGATCACACACAGTCTTGCTGCACGCTGTCCTTCAGTAGTGATGCTCGCCGAGGCTCTTCACATCCCTGTTGTTCTGGAAGAACTGCTCAGGAGTCCACAGAGATATGGAGACAGGACATTGGCAAAAGCAGTTCATGAAAGGTTGAATGAAACACGATTATTATTCCCATATCGATGGTGACAAATCAGGTTGCCATGGAGGGTGACATGAAGCAGCCGGGGACACAGATGACTCTGCTTCCTGGCTGGACCTTATGCCTGTGGTCCGATTTCTTGTCTCCGAAATGTCTGGCCTCCTTGGTTCTGGTTTCCACCCTCGTCAGCCAGCCTTAGCCCACCCTCTGACAATGCCTTAAAAACCTTGCGATTTTCAGATGTCTCTTGTTCCCTCCGGCTCTCCTGTTCCCTTTGTTCCCTTCACTTTGCCAGCCAGTTTGTTTTCTGCTTCACTCTAAGCTTACTGATTCCTTCGTTCCTTTCACCCCCTCTTCTTGTTTAAGTTTTCAGCCCTCTTGTCTTTCTGCCTCTTTACTCTCCTCCATCTTGTCCCCAAAGAAACGCCGTTACCGGGACAAAAATATGAGGAATGTTAGAATTTATCCCATCCCCCATCCAACGCAGGCCTCTCCTCGACTGCCTTCCTCCCGATGTCCTCAAGTCCACATCCGGTTTTTTCCCATAATGGCCCACAGGCCACACCGCTCTTCTCTTAGGTGATTCTGATGGTTGGATGTTCTTCATGATACTGAACTGAAATTGGTCTCCCAATCACATCTGTTTGTCCCATTCAGGTCTCTCTCTGGAGCTGCTAGAATATGTATAATTTCTCAACCACAGGCCATTCCTTCATATTAAAGAGAATTATCTCTTCTCCCCCCTCCTTTCCTGGTTGCACACACCCAGTTGTTTAAACCATTTTATTTATTTTATTTTTTTTTATTCTTATGTTAATCCCCATACATTACATCATTAGTTCTATGTTTAAACCATTTTATATGTAAGTTTCCACACATGTCATTTTATCTGCTATTCTTCTGTGAATCCAGTCTAGTGTTTTTATGTCATTCTTTAAATGCGGGTTTATGTCATTCTTTAAATGCGGGTTTAACACAATAATCCAGACAGGATCTGAAGTGGTTTATATTTCATCTTAATTAAATTTCATCTTCTTGATTCTTCATTTCACTCTTAATTGAAATCGCCATTTGTCACACTCTGTCAGCCAATGGATCTCTTATTTTTTCCAGTTTTTTATCATTGGAAAATTAGTCATGATTTCCATTAATATTCAAGTCACTGATAAAAATTATGCATCAGAACAAGAGCAAGGGCAAAATTTTGGGGCCCAGGGTTTCCAGCCTGGAAACCTACTCCCAGGGTTGAAGACAGTCAATTAAGCACACTCACTGGGCTCTGCCGCCCAGCTGTGTGAGTGGATACACTCACTATTCCAGCACCTACTGCAGGTATCCTGAGGTGTCCTGTCAACTGCTTCGCTGAAATCCAGACACAGAGGGTCCATGGCCTTCCACTCCCACCAACTCTGTCACAGAAGTGTCCATAACATCAACCTGGCCTCATGTTCTCCTTCTAAACCTTCTCTGGGATTTCCTAATGATTATTCTGTAAGTGCTCACAAACTCCGAAATAGTTTAAACTGTTTCAGAGATAAAGGTCAATCTTCCTGTTCTGTCATCTACAGATTGTGTCATTTTCTGCTTCTTAAATTTTAGGATAAAATTTACTTGTATCCAGTCTTCAGTCATCTCCTCCACCACCTCAAAATTCTCCAGGGAATACTGACAGTGGTGGCCGCCCCCCCTCCACTATAATCCTCAGATTTCTTCAGGAAGTTGGGATGTTACTCATCTACCTTAAAAGAACCCCTTAGCACTTTCTTACCAACACTTGCCCTTGTTGTAGTCTTAATTTCCAAAAATCATTCTTGAAAAGACCAGGAAAACTGGTAGGTTGGCTAGTCAAGTCACACCATGATCTCTGTTGCTTGAGTTTCTCTCCTTTGGTTATTTTTCTCCCGGGACAGTCACACAGTCTAAACTAGCTATTTTCCATATTCAAGCTTACTGTTGCCAGACTTCCAAAATTCAGAGAATTATTGATGGGTGGTGTGATTTAAAGATTTTATTTATTTATTTATTTATTTGACAGAGAGGGAGAGAGACAGCGAGAGAGGGAACACAAGCAGGGGGAGTGGGAGAGGGAGAAGCAGGCTTCCCGCGGAGCAGGGAGCCCGATGCGGGCTCAATCTCAGGACCCTGGGATCATGACCTGAGCCGAAGGCAGACGTTTAACGACTGAGCCACCCAGCCACCCCGATGGGTGGTGTGATTTAAAAAAATATTTTTTCTCAGTATCCCATGGAAACTTTTAATAACATCTCTGAAATTTACTTTTAAAATATCTTGCCAAATTCATTTTCTCTCCAAATATGTCTATACATATGTGTGTGTGTCTGTGTATGTATATAAATTAGTTCTTTTTCTTTTTACTGAACCATCTGTGAGTCATGCAGACATCATGACATTTTACCCCGAAATGTTTCAGCATGTATCTCCTAAGAATAAGGGAGACATTTGCCCATAGAAACACAACATGATGATCACCCTGAGGAAATTTAACATTAGTACAATACTATTATCCAATATACAATGTTTATTCAAATGATTCCAATTTTCCCAATAATGTCCTTTATAGCTTTTTATCCCCTCTGATTCAGGATCTAATCAAGGATCACCCCTTGTGTTTGGTTGTCCAGTATTTTTAATCTCTTTGATCTGGAATAGCTCCTCAACCTTCTTGTGTCTTTCTGAATATTGCCATTTTTGAGTCTAGGCCAGTTCTGGTGCAGGAAAGCCCTCAATTTGGGTTTTCCCAGTGGTTTCCTGATTACCAGACTCAGGGTAAACATTTTTGGTGGGAATTCAACATGGATGATGCCCTTCTCAGCACATCAGGAGGCCCATGATAGCAATTTGTCCCATTATTTATGAGGTTTAGTTAAATTATTTATGGGCAATATCCAGGAGATCTCTTTATGTAAAGGTACATTTTCTCCTTTGTAATTAATAAGCAATTGGGGAGGTGTTATTCTGAGACTGGGTATATCGCTAACTCCCCAGAAATCTTCCTTTATTTTAAACCCAAAGGAATTAAAGACACCATTCTTTTCTGACTGGAATCGAGCTTTAATTAATTTTTTAAATCTCCAGCACTGACACAGAGGAGGTATTTAAATATGGGCTAAAATTATGATCAATTATCATATTGCTCAGACACAGTCTGATTGTTCCCTAACTAGTGCATGTGGGTTACCAGACTTGTTAGTGACCTGTTACTATCTCCTCTACTCCCTAAAGTTCTGTTCTTTCTGAAATAAGATGAAACTTCTCTACTAAGGCTGCCTCCCCTATCTCTGATTTCTTCCTTTCTTAAAATTATTTAGGGGCGCCTGGGTGGCTCAGTCGTTAAGCGTCTGCCTTCGGCTCAGGTCATGATCCCAGAGTCCTGGGATCAAGCCCCTCATCGGGCTCCCTGCTCGGCGGAAAGCCTGCTTCTCCCTCTCCCACTCCCCCTGCTTGTGTTCCCTTTCTTGCTGTGTCTCTCTCTGTCAAATAAATAAATTAAAAAAAATTATTTATTCGTTCCATATTTCTATAACAAAGTCTTCACATTACCTGTGTAAGCCTTTGGCCTCAGCCTCTTTCCATCACTTCCTCTCTCTCCCTGTTATTTTCGAGGGTTTCCCCTTCCTCAAACAGAAAGACTTGAAGGAAGACAGGGCACCCAAGACTGCAGTCTCCACTTATAGAAAGCTGTGACCTAACCATTAACAAATGGGAATTTTAACTTTAAAATTGATATCCCTGTCCTGAAGGAGGAAAGAAATGATCACTTTATAATCATTTTTATTTTGGTTCCTGGAAATTCTTTTTTTTAAAGATTTTATTTATTCATTTGAGAGAGAGAGTGAGAGAGAGCTTGAGAGTGGGGGGAGGGGGAGAGGGAGAAGCAGGCTCCCCACTGAGCAGGGAGGCTGATGCGGGGCTCGATCCCAGGACCCTGAGATCATGCCCTGAGCCGAAGGCAGATGCTTAGCTGACTGAGCCACACAGGTGCCCCAGTTCCTGGAAATTCTTAATAAACATTTTCCATGCAAATGATCTGTGGGCCTTCAACAGGTTTGTTCCATGTTCTGAGAGTCACAGGCCAGTGCCGTAAGCTCCAGGGAACCTAAAGATTTTAAAGATGCAGGGGATGAACCAAACTTCCTAATTTAAATAATTCAATCATTTTATGCATTCAACAAATTAGGGTTTTTTTAGAGTTTTTTTAAAGAGCGTATTCTCGGGCGCCTGGGTGGCTCAGTTGGTTAAGCGACTGCCTTCAGCTCAGGTCATGATCCCAGGGTCCTGGGATCGAGTCCCGCATCGGGCTCCCTGCTCTGCGGGGAGCCTGCTTCTCCCTCTCCCACTCCCCCTGCTTGTGTTCCCTCTCTCGCTGTGTCTCTCTCTGTCAAATAAATAAATAAAATCTTTAAAAAAAAATAAAGAGCATATTCTCATGTTCTAAATCTAAAACATCAGTCCCGATGTGTTACTTTCGATCATTTCATAGTCATTAGAGGAGAGGGAGAAGGAAGAAATGGAAAACGTCCTCAGAGAGTAAAGACTCTATACTGTAATCTCTAAGCAGCTAAACTTATGGCATATCCTCTTCCTCCTAGATCCACGTCTCCATTAGCAAAGCTTCATGGATCTTCCATTCTGGAGAGGCACCACCTGGAGTACAGTAAGACTCTCCTGCAGGATGAGGTACATGAGCCTTTCTCCAGGGCAGCTCAGAAGCTCTGGATCAAAGCAATAACCCAAGAAAATGCTTAGAAAGAGGATGGCCTTGAGTTATGGCAGTTGACAGTCTATATCCTTATTGAAGTCAGTTGCGAGAAATGGCTATCTTGCAAGTGTTTTGAACAACCAGTTTGGAAGGAGCGGAGATAGAAAAGAGCCAGGGAAAGACAAAATCTCTGTGGGTCCGTGGAGAAAGAATAAAAAGCTTATGTGGATGTGAGAGGGCCCTGTGCATCCTAAGGTGTATATATATACATATATATATATATATGGAAAGGGGAAAGGAGGCTAGATAGCCAATGATTTTCTTATTCATGGGGCATGCCCTGTGAGGCTTTGTATCTTTGAGGAAGTCAAGCTTTGGTAGCGGGGGTAAGCATGAAATCAGCATATAAGACAGAAACAGACAACTGCCGTCAGAGAGGCACTGGTAATGCTCTGAGATTCTAGAAGGAGATCCCACATTTAGGAGTAGGCAGGGCATAGGGAAGCAGAGGGGTGGGATCAGGGACAGCTTTGTGCAGGAAGCTTGGTCTTGAATTCACTTTGATTTGCACATGTCATGTACTACTAACATTCCAAAGGAGGCCGTCATTCTTCCTTTTATGAATTTTATTTAAGGGTATATAGGCTTGTGGAAAAGTTGTGGATATGTAATATAGTTATACTTTAAAAAAATCTCTTGAGAAGGTTCCAAACCAAAACTGATTAAAACGAGTCCTTATTAGATGGAGGGAAACACTTGTCATAGCAGAGAACTTGTTGAGAATCACACGTGCTCAGTTGGGAGAAATAAGCCCTCCGGGGGGTGGAGCTTTTCTCAGTTTCTGTAACAATCTTTTATTAAAGGCTCAGGGAAGGAACATACAGAAATATGCTCAAGTCTAGAGATAACACTAAATTCTCCCAAATAATGTAAAGAAAGCCAAGTGGGGAAACTTGTAAGGCAGAGTGACCAAGCAGAAAGGTAGAAAAAGAAAAAAAAAGAAAAAAAAAAAAACTTGAGTGTTTTTAATAGCCTGTGATTGATGCCGCACCCAGACAGGGGGACCCAGACCGAGTGCATCAGAATTCACGCGGCGGGGGTGTACAGAATGTTAAAAACAGTTCCTGGGCTTCATTTTGCACTTACTGATGGGGCTTTCTGGGATTCTGGCCCAGGAATTTGCATTTTTAGTTTTTTTTTTTTAAGATTTTATTTATTTATTTGAGAGAGAGAGAGACATAGAGCCAGCAAGAGCATGAGTGGGGGGTGGTGGGGAGGCAGAAGGAGAGGGAGAAGCAGAATCTCCGCTGAGCAGGGAGCCTGATGCAGGGCTCGATCCCAGGACCCTGAGATCATGAGGCCTGAGCCAAAGGCAGACGCTTAACCCACTGAGCCACCTAGGCACCTCATGCATTTTTAATGAAAATGATAATTCTGGTGTAAAGCCAGACCCTCTCCCTGCAGTAGCGTTTATAACATAAAAATGATATTATCTGTTCTATGAAAATTAAAAGGAATAGAATTGAAAGTAATTCAGGAAGACAAGAATAAATTGCTGTTACTAATTTGTTATGAGTCTTTGTTGGGACAATCTTATATTTTTGAGCAAGAATTTTCTCTACTTTTTATAATCAGTGGTGTCACTGATTATGTGACACCACAAGCAGGTAGTGTCGAATATAAATTATTATTTAATTTTACATGTTCCTACTAAAGCAAAATATATTTTAAGAACTTCAGCCAAGGGGACCCTGGGTGGCTCAGTCGGTTAAGCGTCTGCCTTTGGCTCAGGTCATGATCTCAGGGTCCTGGGCTCGAGCCCACATTGGGCTCCCTGCTCAGTGGGGAGTCTGCTTCTTCCTCTGACTACAGCTCCCCCTGCTTCTGCTCTCTCTCTCTCTGTCAAATAAATAAATAAAATCTTAAAAAAAAAAAAAAAAAGAACTTCAACCAAGTGTTTAAATGCTTAACATTTGGGGGGGGGTAGGAGGGTGGGGTGGGGTGGGGGTCCTCGTATCTCATACGGTTTTCTGGAATTTAAAGGTTTATAATAGACTTGTTGTTTTCCATCTCTTTTAATGTTATTTACTCTGGAGTCTGAAACTGGTTTTGATGGCTATATAAAGGCTTATTATTCTTTCTAAAAAGTCATACTACATCTCAGTAATCCATACCACCTTGGCAAGGACCTGTCTACAATGCTATCCGACCTGCTAACTGCAAACTTACAAGGCCTGTAAATAGAGTCGCTAGGCAACACAATCACAGAGCTTTTTATGAGCAGGCAAATGGAACGCTAAGAAAAATGAAATTTTTAGCCATCAGATGTTCTTTTTACACTTTTGGGAGACAGTATTGTTGTTTCATTTACTTTTTTGTATAAAGAAAATATTTGCATTAAAAGCATTTAAATAAGGGCATCCTCATGATTTATATAACAATTTTGACATTTAGTGGTCATTACTCAGCCATTTTGTTTTGCATATTATGAGGCTTTGAATTAAAATGTCCTTATGTCCTAGTAGAGTGGGATTCACAGTTCTGAGGATTAAGAAACACCCGTATTCCAAACCAGACAGAAGTCCACTCTTTCACCTGAGTCAACAGGTGGAAAACTTGCTAGTCAAATTTGTAAGAGTATAAACTTTAATGCCATCATGTATTGTAGAAACAACAAAATGAATTGCTCAGCTTAACAGAACCCTGTTATTATTCAAAACACTTCCTTACAGAGTTTATGATAATTCTATTTATGCTTTTCCATACCAACTTCATCCTATACAAAGGAGTGAAGAAGCAATGAAATATCCTGTGTATGGTCCCATCGAGCCATGAACACGTTGGCAATGTCTTCTGATGGGTATTGCAGGTACCACACTGAAGGCTGGAACAGCCTGTACTTTCTCCAGCCTCACCTCACCTGAAAGCCCTACTCAGGATGCATTGGAGTCATTCCTACCTATTTTGGTGTACTGTTCAGAATTGATATGTTTACTGCCATTTTAATAGGAGAGGAGAACAAACATAGACTCTTTCTGTGGGCTAGGGAGAGCAGCTGAGCACACCTGGGCCCTGCTGGAGTCAGCTGGGAAACGGGCCTCCTCTCATGCTCTGGGCCACCTGTCCCCACCTTAGGTTTTCAGCACAGTCCTTGGGAAGACAAATGGAATATTACATACATACATGTTTTTAAAATCAATGACTCCATAGTGGTTGTAAAAATTACACTTGCAAATATAAAAACTCAACGACAGGGGAAAACTAAAAAACAAATATAAAAAAATATTTCAAATACTATCACTCAAAAAATTGCTATTTCAGTACCACCTGATGAACTTCTTGTGGCCACCTGTGAGTATACAGGCAGAATGGAAACAATTTTAGAAAAATGGGATCATACTATCCAAGCTTTTTTTTTAAAGTCAGTTATGTTTTTAAAATCACCTTATTAAAGTATAATATGTGTACAATAAACTGCACCTCTTCAATGTGTATAATTTTGAGTTTATATAATTTTATACACCTAAGAAACCACCACCACAATCAAGATATAGAACATTTCTGTCACCCCAAACCATTCCTCATGCCCCTTTGCAGTGCGTACCTCTCTGCTCCCAGCCCTAGACAACTGTTGAAATGCTTTCAGTCACTATAAATTAGTTTAGATTTTTGTAGATTTTATGTAAATGCAATTACACAAGTACTCTTTTGTGCTGGCTTCTTTCATACAAAGCAATAATTTTGAGATGTGTCTGTGTTGTATATATCAGTGATTCATTCCTTTTCATTGCTGATTAGTTTTCCATTTATCTTTATGTAATTCTATTTGAATTTAATAGAAGAAACATTTTGGAAATGGAAGGAATTGTAGAGCTTTAGACACTGTGTCTTTAAACAAGAGCTACTAGCTCTTAAAGAGCCCTCTACAATGAACAAATGAGAAATTGTGAAAAACTATAGCTCAGCATTTAGAATTTTGATATTTTTAGCCTATATGTATTAACTTTATACTATCTATTAACTCACTATAAAACATGAAGCAATGAAAATACTTCTGCTTCTTCCCACATCTTCGTCTGTTTTGTAAGGTGTTTATTATCATTAGCATTTTTTTACCATTATCAGTATTTATAAAATTCACATGTTGCTCGATAATTTCCACACACTTACATACAACACAGGTACTCATCAGGACAAGCGCACTCCTTAATCCCCATCCCCTATTTCCCCCGCGCCCCCACCCTTCCCCCTCCAGTAACCATTGGTTTGCTCTCTGTAGTTAAGTCTGTTTCTTGGTTTGCCTCTCTCTCTCTTCTTTTCCCCCATGATCATTTGTTTTGTTTCTTAAATTCCACATACGAGTGAAATCATATGGCATTTGTCTTTCTCTGACTTATTTCACTTAGCATAATACTCTCTAGCTCCAACACAATTGCTTATTCTTAATTCTACTTTTAAATGGGCCCAATACTTACAATCAATCCTTTTACTCTGGCTTCTCCATTCCTCTGTATTTTATTTTGACTCACATGTTGATTGGCTAGGTTTTTGTTAAATGGTAGTTTTTCCAAGAGAGGTTAAACTAAGTACATGCTTAAGAATACCTGTTTGTTACATTTGTTTTTGAAGATCAGTTTGGCGGGACATAAAGGTCTTGCATCACGCTTTTTCTCAGAAATTGGAGGACATTGCTTCACTGTCTTTTGGCATTGAAGTATTGCCCTGAAGAGCTGTATATGGCTAATCTTTTTGTCTTACATATGACTTGCTTTTTCTGCATAGATGTTCATCTGATACTTAATTCTTCATATTTTATTTATTTTTTTTTAAAGATTTTATTTATTGATTTGACAGAGACAGACATAGCAGGAACGGGAGCACAAGCAGGGGGAGTGGGAGAGGGAGAAGCAGGCTTCCCGCCGAGCAGAAAGCCCAATGCGGAGCTCAATCACAGGACGCTGGGATCACGACCTGAGCCGAAGGCAGATGCTTAACAACTGAGCCACCCGGGCGCCCCAATTCTTCATATTTTAGTAACGTCATCTGGATGTCTTGGTGTTGATCATCTTGTATTAATTTCTTCCTGCTCTAATCACTTGGCTCTGCCTTAGCTTACTAAAAAAAAAAAAAAAAAAAGCATGTGTGTATATATGTTTATTAACTCAATTTGTTCCCAAAAATTTTATTGGAGCTTCCAAAAATACAAAAACAAGGGTGGGAGGGGGTTAAAGAAAAAGAAATAGGACTACTGGAAAAATAAAATGAAGATGAATTATAGTAAAGTCCCAAAATGTATACAGCGAAAGGTATAAGACATGGGCCCCAGATTTGGTCAAGGGCTTTCTAGCCACTAATATAAAACAGAAGCAGGATCTTTTATATGAATCTATATGCATAGGTTATAAAGAAACTACTTAGAAGCTCTTCTTTTAAGATCCTTAGATATGAAAGAAAAGAGAAAATAAAAAGTATATAGAATTAAGACAGGGTTTTTTCAATTAGAAGATTTGTCCATGTTTTTAGATGAAAGTGAAAATGAGTGAGAAGGGGCACCTGGGTGGCTCAGTCGGTTAAGCATCTGCCTTTGGCTCAGGTCATGATCCCAGAGTCCTGGGATCAAGGCCCAGGTCTTCGGGCTCCCTGCTCAGCAGGGAGCCTGCTTCTCTCTCTCCCTCTGCCTGCTGCCCCCCCGCCCCCCGCTTGTGCTCTCTCTCTCTCTGTCAAATAAATAAATAAAATCTTTAAAAAGAAAATGAGAAAAAAAGATAAGAATGTGATTCAGGTCTACATATGTATTTTATAACCGTCAACTTCATTTGGCAAAACCACTATACATCTGTCCTTTGGCCTGTATGCCTAAAATGATTTATTTGGAATATGAGACCTTTTGCAAAATGATACATATTGTTACAGTACTATTAACTAGGTGTAGTTTGTTGTTTAAAATGATGTAATCATCAAGGGACCCCGGGTGGCTCAGTTAGTTAAGTGTCTGCCTTCAGCTCAGGTCATGATCCCAGGATCCTGGGATCGAGTCCCGCATCGGGCTCCCTGCTCAGCAGGGGAGCCCGCTTCTCCATATGCCTGCCACTCCCCCTGCTTGTGTGTGCTCTCTCTCTCTCTCTCCCCCCATCTCTCTCTCCCTGTCTCTCTCTCTGACAAATAAATAAAATCTTAAAAATAAATAAAATAAAATAATGTACTCATCAAAATGATACATATTAGAATATGAGAGCTTTTAAAAACCACTCCCAAATTTACTCTCATTTTCTAGGACACTATGAAGCTGATCCATATATGAGGAGAGTATTAGTGGGAAACTCTTTGAAGAAAGGTCTAGTTAAGTTTTTGTAAAATATAATTGCAAGAAAACATTTTAAGAACAACTTGAGAGGATTTCATTATTTTTTTCTGATATATACATGAGTACTAGTGTAACTTGTAGTTTCTGAAAGTTTTCCAACAACTTCTATGATTACTCTAAAATTATCTGGTGGATAATTCAGCATATCTAACAATGGGATGTACCAGATATTCTTTATTAAAACCCCTCCATTAATACAAGCAAAATTAAAATTTATTGTTATATTTATAAATGATCCTGGAGAAAACACTTTTATTTACTCCCCAAACTTATACACTGATTACAAGAATATTTGCTAAGAATATCTATTTTTATAGTTTAAATTACCTTACTCAAAGTAGAGGGGTAACTTAACCCAAGAGAGAAAGCTAAAAGCTTTCTTCCATGCTAATTATCTTTATTTTGTTAGGCATAGTTTGGTTTATTTGTTGAATCAAAGGCAAATTAATGTTTGCACTTTATTGTGATTTTTTTTAAATAGTCCCATTTATGTGAATTTTTATCTTACAGAGTTTAAATATCTTCCAGAACCTAAATAAACGCCAGTTTGAAACAGTTATTCATTTGTTTGAAGTTGCAATAATAGCAACTGACCTGGCTTTATATTTCAAGTAAGTACAGAACTCCCTTACGCTCTATGTGTTTCTGCCTTACATAAATGACCCACTGCATTCAAGTTAAAAGGCATTTCTTCACACACACATTTATTCACTTTCCTTTTGGATCATCAGTAGAATACCCTCAAGGTACCTGATAATTTCCTAGACATCTGAAAACATATTTTAAAAAACTAACCTCCTAATGTCAATTAGTTTGTTGTCTGAAGAAGTTCGAACTGAAGGATGTACAGCAAGGTTGGTGCATTGCCCAAAGAGTGATGCCACACAGCCTTAGGAGGTGATCTTGGTCCTGGTGGATTCATCATGGTCCAGGGTCTGATATTTAGAGTTGCAGGATCAGACATTTGATTCTTCTGGAACCTGGGAGCTAAAAAATCTTGGTGATACTGAACCAAACTCACATAATTCTGAGTTACATACAGCAGAGCACTAGCCTATTTACAATAATAATAACCAAGGAGACCAGAGACTCCAAGCTTCTGCCCATTTTCTTGTCAGTGAACTATAAAGTTGTTGGTGAAAACAGATTAGAACAAGGTGAACTAGTTATAATGTCCAACTCTTTAATGACTTAGATGGGTAGTATCAAATTGTGCCTCTCTGGTCCTTAATTACAAATTTAGTTATTCTATAGTCCGAAGATGAAGACAGATACTTAGAATAACATAATTGATATCCAAACATCCATAACCCAGATTCGACAAATGCTAAGATTTTGCCACACCCATCTGAGATCTTTTTTTTTTTTTATGGAAAAAAAAGTAATGCAATCGAGGCATCCCATCTCATTCCACAAAAAGCCCCTCCTTCTCCCTCACAGATACCATCATTCTGATGTTGATGTGTACTCATCCTTTCCATCCATGTTTTTATATTAAGTGTTTGAAAATTGTCCATAAATGGTATCCTACTGTACATACTTTTCTACAACTTGCTTTTTCATGTAACATTATGTTTTAAAGATTTACTTTGGTGGTATATGAAGATCCAGTTCATTAGTTTTAACTGTATATTCAACTTTATGAAGATGCCATAATGAATTCAGCTGTTCTTCTACACATGGATATTTAGATCATTTCTAACTTTTCATTATTGTTGACAATGCTGTATTGTATATCCTTGTACGCATGTGAGTTTCTCTAATGTACATGCCTAGAAACGGGATTGCTATAGGGTTTGCAAATCTTCAGTCTTAATACTATATTGCAAAACTGCACTCCTGAGTAGTTTTCCCAATTTAAATTCCCACCAGCAGTGTGCAAGAGTTTCTGTTATCCCATATCTGGACTACCTTTGATCTGGGCACACTTACATCTATCTATTCACTTATTTATCTTGTCAATTTGAGTAGAGATGGTATCTTATTGATGTTCAAATTTGTATTTTTTTTACCAGTGACATTGAGCATCTTTTCATGTATTTTAGGTTCTAATTCTTTGTTGGTTTTATGCATTTTTTATCATCATTTATCTCATCACAGACTGTGGCCTTTATGTTTATGTTGTTTTGTCACGTTAATTTGTCACATGTTACTTTTAGTTTTAATGTATTCAATTTTTTAATGTATTCAAACTTACCAATTCCTTTTTTCCTTTTGTGGCTTGTGGTTTTTCTGTCTTAAACCTTTTCTGTGCCAAGGTTAACAGCCATTCCCTGTTCTCTTCTCCCCTGTGACACTTTAGATCCACTATGTGGACATCTGATGCAAAGTGGGAACATGAAATCTGAAAAGCATATATTAAAGATACTTTTTATCTCTGGTCTTACATGCTAAAATTGTTGCAAAGCTATATCTTTTTTAGGAAGAGAAGCATGTTTCAAAAAATTGTTGATGCCTGTGAAAAAATGGAAACTGAAGAAGAGGCCATCAAATATGTAACCATTGATCCAACCAAAAAGGAGATTGTCATGTAAGTAGTCAGAATTTTATTCCTCTTTTGGCAAAAAACAAAACAAAACCCTTATTTTGCATATCTTTGTTTTAACAAGTGTTGTTTTCTCCCAAGGGCAATGATGATGACTGCATGTGACTTGTCAGCTATAACGAAACCCTGGGAGGTACAAAGTCAGGCGAGTACAGTTATGTTTCCTTTTCCGTCACTTGCACAGGTACTACCTAGATCCATGTAAGAGCGAACGTGAAGATTCTGGCAATCTTGGAATTTTGTTATAGCTAGCAATTATGTGACTATATATTTTGTAAGCAATTATCTTTCATTACCCTGGAACAAACAATCGGTTTATAATTTAAAAAGAAAAATGAAACTTGAGACGTTAAGACAAAAAATGTTCCCTGTTGGATTTCTGCTAATGAAGAAAGATAACTAGCTTTCAAGAGCTCACAAGTGTCAATAAGACAATAAGTCATTTGGTTAGGCCCCAGAACAAGGCAAAGAGAAGGGACCTTAGAAAGGAAATGCTTTCTGCAAAGAATTCCTTATCATTGAACAGACTGCAAAAAGTTTATATACAATTATTCAGGGAATGTCTGAGTTTTTAACAGAGGAGATAAATTGGCACAAGACAAAGATGAATCATTAGTGCTTTCCTCTATCAAGGGTGGTTTTGCTCCTACAACCTCTTCTTCACTGTGTTATCAATAATTAAAAGGCACTGTCTATAGTAAGTTCATGTTTAAGGGTGCCTTCCCCAGTTTTTTGCCAACCTCAGGGAGTGAGAGTCAGGAGTCACCAGTTTACTATTTGATTTCTTACTAACGGGATGAAAGAAGCTTCTCTTTTTCCCTCAATGACTTCTAGGAGAAACCCTACATGGAAGAAAGGCCAGAATTCACTGGGTTCAACTATAATTGTGGGTTGTATGAATAAAGATAGAATAATTAGAACCATTAAATTCCAAACCAAACACTTGTGCTCCTTCCACTCTGACATGCCTGTTCTTCCTCCTTGATTCTTTATCTGCACAATCACCCAGGCCAGAAACCTGGGGCCTTGCATGAAGTTCACCTCCCTATTCCTGTCTGTCACACTGGCTACTGCCTCAGGTCAGACTTCCTCTTTCATCAGCACGATGGTGGCGGGACCCTCCTAAGGGATCCTTCTTCATCCTTAGCTACCCAGCCCTCCTCTGAGCTGCTGCTGGGATTATTTATAGATAGAGCTCTGCTCAGCCACTCCTCTCCTTCTAAACTCCCCACGGCCAGAGGTTTCCAAGCTTTCTTTTAAAAAAGAAGTAAAGTCCTCCCCACCCCACCCCCAATAAAGTTGTACAAAGACCACTTATATAAAAGAAAAAACCAACGTTACTCTAGCTGAAATCTCTCTTGGCTGGGGCTGCTAGTGCTCTTTGGTGCACTAGGGCTCCAGGAATAAGAATCACCGTTCTAGAGAATCAAACTTCCTAGCAAAGCTTATATGGCCTGTCACTACCTGTCCTTGTCCTTAACTCACACTCACCAGATTATTTCCTGGCACTCTCTCCCATTCACCATCTCTCACGCTAAGCTCTGGATGTTCAGTTTTATCTCTGCAGATAGTCTTCCCCTCCTCTTTATCTGAAAAACTACTATTCATCCTTGATGCAACATAAATGCAAGCTCCTTTATGAAACTCATCCTTACTTCCTTCTCCTCAATCCCCAGCACTTCATACTACTACTGTTACAGCCTTTACCCACATGGTTTGCATGACTATCTCTACGAGACTGGAAGCATCTTAAAGAAAAAGGTCACATCTGATTCCTCCTGGCAAGCCTGGTTCATGCCAATATAAGGCAGCTAGTGGGTATTCATTAAACTTGATATTGGGTTTTTAAAAGCTATATAAATTTACCCTCAAATATCCTTACCCTGTAATCAAGTAAAGCTGTGTTCTAATCTGTGTGCATGTGTGTACATGCAGATATGCTAGAAGCTAACAGATAAGCAGGACAAGAGGAGGATGTGTGGGAAGTTTCAGAGCTTGAAGCAAAATGTAACAGAATTAAACATCCTCCCATCTCCCCTTTTTATTGTTGAGAGGTGGTGGCAATAGCAAATAGGAGATAGGTACTCCCAGAATGGGCCTAGAATGCTGAAGTGGCAAGAGAAATTTCCCCTTCCCATTTCAATATAATCTATATTTTTAATTTTTATGAGGACCCTCCATACTGT